AATCTCGTATGCCGACCTTAGTGTTTTTGATGTGAAGGTAGATTAATATATTACCAAAATGATAATTTTGTTTTTATTATTTTAGAAAGTATTTTTGAAAGGCAATTGCTCTCATGTATTTCTTTGTATAAGTTACTTTTATGTATATGACATTAAGATTAATTTAAATGGGCATAACCTGACTTATTTTATAACTTTGAGTATTTCGATATTTTTCTTAAGATACTTTTCATTTAAATAGTTTTCCCTTGCGGATGAATGATTTTCCTTCTATAAAACTTTAAATTATTTTGAAAGCAGATTTTCCTTAAAGGGAAACATCTTATATTAGAAGAATTTTTACTTCTGCTGCAATCTTTTTCTATGGATAATTCCTACTATTTTTTTTTTTTATCTTGAGGAATACATTTCCCTACTTGGTAAACTAGGAGGTTTATCAAAAAGGGGATGTTACAATTGATGTCCTATTTTAATAAAATATATGACTAATGAATAATTTAAGAATGTTGCTTTTGGATCATAGGGTTCTTAATTACTAATAATGATGAGTACCCTTACCTTTTGATGCAATAAACATTATAAGAACTTTATCGATATTAAAGTATGAGCAAAAAAATAACAATTAATATACCTCATCTATAAATATAAATGTCATAACCACAAGTAAATATAGAATTAGCTCAAGGATACACTCTAATAGTAGATACAAAAGTATGAAGCTCTTAAGAAATGAACTCATAAATCAGCTTCTTGTTTGGAAAGATAAAGATTGTGAAACTCTTATTATTTACTCCATCCTTACATTAAAAAAAAAAAATCTCACTTGATCCTAAAATAATGGTGGTGTCATTTACTCACGATAAAAGTTTACTTTAGAAGCCCTTGGGGTTAGCTTAAATGGTTAGGGAGTCATTTGAATCATATTAAGAATGTGGTTTCAAATTCCTTTAATGTTTAAGTGTAAACAATTTCAATGTGACACACTTGTTAGAGTGTGCCCTACGAGGCACTTGTTTGGTATCGTTTATGTATTTGTGATTAAACTTTTTATATTTCATATCTAATTTTATGGTATTCTTTATCAAATAGTACATGTTATTCTTTAGCATGACATTAAATATCAATAAAGTCCTTAGAGTGTTTATTGAATCAAAAGGTAATGGTAGCCATCACTATTAAGTGAGAACCATATAAAGCAATAGCACCGTTCTTAAAATTGTTTGTTAGTCATATACATCATTGAGATGAGACATCATTCAATGTGAAGACTACCACATGTGAGAGTTTCCTATGTGGCAAGACTTCTTCTTATGATGTATTACATATGGGTGATTCAAAGAAGATGGAGCCACCAAATTGACCCACCATGACAACTCTACATGAGCATGTTAGTAGTAGCAGCTCAAGTGATCCTTTGACTTGAGATCATCATTATTCTATGTAAGGACTTGCATATTTTGATACTATTAAAAATAGCCATCATGAGGCATTGCGAGTAGTACCATTATTGGGTGCATTATGAATCACTTAAGAATGGTGAGCAAGTTAAGATGGGACTATCCCTTTCAAGTTTAATGAGAAAAGATATATATCTAGGCCATTGGATTGAGATGACACTAGGTGCAAGTTCATGGTCATGGCATGAATGAAAGAATTCATTTAAGAAGTATGTCTACCTTGAAAATCAAAGAAACAACATCAAGATCTAAAGATGATAAGACATAGCATACATCTAGCATGATAAAGACAGTGGTGATGAAACAATTGATTTATGCAAACATATTGATCCTAGTAAGGTTTGTCAAAGCCATTAACATTTTTATCAAAATGTGTGCCATGAGACATTGTTAGATGTCACTGTGGTATGTAGGTGAACTTACTACCAATGAGATAGAAACCTAGAAAGTCACACAAAATAGTGCACTAAATGGAATTGATATTCGGGAAATTAAGTCTATGGAAAAAGGATATTAATTTATGTGAAAATTGTTAGGTTTAAAAGGGTGCAACAAAAGCAAAAATTCAAATATTCTTCCTCTTTCAACCCATCTAAGATCCTTATGAATCCATTAATGGTTAAGGAAGGTTCATGATCAATACCTCAATATCACATGCCTCATTAAGGCACAACACCAATCATTGTCCTCCTATAAAGCCTTGGAGTCCAAGGGTTGAACTTCTTTAACAATATCCAAGGCGCAACTTGGGGATTTGAAGAAGACATGATCCATAGTGTGCTAGCAATAGAAAACCTTGTTAAATTTCATTCTTTCCTTTGGTAGAAAATAATTTTAGTAGCCCAAAATTCTACAATGCAAATTTGTGATATTATGTTTTCCACATCTATTTATATTAATAGGAAATAGGAAGATGTGCAATTCTAATCCCATTAGAATTGTCAAACTTAGTCTCCTAATCAAAGTAAGAAACAAAGGAAGGAGAAGACTTTCCTTCCTTTCTTTTTTCCCTCTTTCGCTTCACCCTTGGATTAGGAATTTTGACCAAAGGCCTCCTTGCCCTATATGCCACTCAGCCTTTATCCTATATGGGTTAGGGTTTAGCCCTATAGTCCTCTAAAGATTAAATTGTCGCTTTGGATTTTTCTTATCCTTAATTTTGAACAAATCTAAACTTGGATTAATTAATCCACTCTATGAATTTAACTCTTGGAACTTGATTAATTTATTTCTCTTGTAAAAATAATATTTGCACATAAATTAATCTATATCCATAAACTTGGATTTATAAAAATCTCAATCCCTATAACACACTGTGTAAACCTGGGTTTACATCATGATATTGTCAATAAAAATGCCTCACAAACTAAGAGCAGTATCTAACAAGTCATAGCTAGCCAAAGTGATAGAAATGTTGATGACTTTGACTAACCTTCTTTTGATTGATGCACTTGTGTAATTTAATCCCTTTATCACCCATATCTCAATCAATCAAGATGCATGCTATATGTTATCATTCTTAAAGCTTGATATGTTTTCTTTGATTTCCAAGATAGATTTACTTCTCAAATGAAACCTTTCATTCTTGCCATGACCATGGACTTGTAAGTCATGTCATCTCAATCAAAAGGGCCAAAGATATCTGCTTTTTCTCAAACTCGAGAGGGACGAATCCTATCTTAACACACCCAATACTCAAAGATTCATAATGCACCTAATAACTATCTTACTTATAACCCCTCATAATAGTTATTTTTTACAACATCAAATTACACGTATGGAATAATAAAAATCTCAAGTTAAATGATTGCTTACGCTTGTATTATAGTTGAAAAGCTACTAATGACACATGCATGCATATAGTATTGTCACAATCGGTTAGTCTAGTACACTCAGTTACTTTGAGTCACCCACATGTGATACATGATTTTGTGAGAATAAGTCTTACCCTTAACAAAGCATCACACATGATAGTCTTTACATCATTGGTGTCCTATCTCAATGACATATACAACAAATGGACAATTTAAGAATGTTGTTATTGCATTATGCAGTTTCACTAATTAATATTAAAGTGATATATCATATAGAGAGACATAAAAGTTGGGTGTTTTAGATAATTAAAATAATTCAAATATTTGTGGGGTTTCAAGCCCTTTGTCACTGCATGCAAGTTTGGGGGCCGGAGTTAAGGGCATCATGGCATGGAGCTACAGCCACAGGCACACAGGAGGTGTATGCAGCGTCCAGGGGGCATGCCATGCAACGTCGTGGAGTGCGAACGCAGACACGAAGGCAGGTGCAAGCATGAGCATGGGTGCAAGTGGAAGCGCAAGCGGAAGCGTGGACGCGGGCATGCTCGACGACGGTGTCGGTATCGCAATACGGGGTTGCGATTACGACACTTATGCATACAAGGGAACAAGCGCAAGGTGGATCGCTCAAGATGCAACGGGCCTTGCCAGTGGAGGCGTCGATACTGGGGCCGTGGCCTAAAGTTGCGGACAGGACGCGTGAGAGCGTATGGAAGCAGTCGGGGGTGACGTGCACGTGCGCGCAAGAGTGTCTTGGCCTGAGACATCGACGCACACACAGGCAACCTGGGTTGAGACGTTGGCACGCATAGGTGCGGTATGGCTCGAGGCACTAGGGCGCGCAAGTGCAAGCACGGGCACGAGCGTGACATGGAACGCTCGAAAGGCGGGCTTGGCATGAGTTCGCAATGTCAATGCCACGACCGTGGCATGGGGTCCTGGTCGAGACACGCAAACGCGCGCAGGAACGACCAAGGGCGTCCACATAGTGTGCCATGTGCGCAGCGGAAGAAGTGTCAACACGAGAGAAATACACGTGGCTATGGTGTTGACAACTTTGCAGCGGACTAGAGCGATCCAAAACTCTCTAGAAGCTGTTGGGCACATGGGAACAATACCAGACAGAGGTCTGGATGGGCTTGTTGGGCCAAGCTCGACCTAGGATCTTCCTAGGGCCTTGTACATAGTTCTAGAATGGGTTGTTCTAGAATATTGTAGGCTAGGCTTAGGAGGGAGAATGGAGAGTTGGCTAGCAAGAGTGAGCTGCTAGGTGAGTGAGTGTAAATAGGGTTTGTACTCATGGTCTTGTACACTCCTTTGCGATCTTAATAAATTCTCTTCTTCTCCCAACTTCCTACCTTCGTATTCGTGTTGCTAACCTCGAGCCCAATTAGAGGGCCACGCCAAGTGTTGGGGAAGGCTAACTTGGTTCGGGTTTACGGGGTTAATTTCGAGCTAAGTGCCGCACGGGAACCAGCTAGATTCCGCCTCCGAGACAAGTGATATTGGAGCTAGTCTCACCTCGTGACACCTTGCTTAAGATGCAACTATTGTGCTTAGAATTATATATCTTATGTGAAAAGTTATATGCATACATTGTGTGTGGTGACGGAGCAAGAAAACATCTCAAGTTATATGCATACACTATTATCCTTTAAATTAGTTCTAAATAATACTAATTATATTTAGTTAAGAAATTTAATAATAATTCCATCAAAAAGAAATTTAATAATAATAATTAATGTTACAAGAGACTTCGTTGGTGATTCTAATAAGTATGAAAAATATTTTGAGAAACTTGTACTATATATTTAAGAGGCTTCATTAGGTGTATTTGAGTGCTTGGTTGTCAAAACTGCTTACTCATTATATTTGATAAAATTTTCTAATGTGAAAATTATAAATTAATTTCTAAGGTGGTTGTTGTGGTACCTATGATTTTGATGATTACAAAACACATTTGAGTGACTAATTGGTTTATTTAAGTGTGTAGTTAAGTTGCTAAAAGATTGCAAGTAAACTTGGATTGCACTAAAAATAGACCAAAAGGATTCAAAATTGCAGAGAGCCGGCTCTGGAAGCTGAAGCCGGTTTTACAAGCAAAAATTTGAAGGCCGTTGCTTGGCGCGCGCGGAGAAAAGACGCAAAGCTGGCTCCAACTTTATAGCCGGCTGTGAGGGTGCATTTAATGCACAACGGTCGACTCTTTTGAATGTATTTAAAATCGGAATTCCAAAGCCGGCTCAATGTCTTGCAGCCAGCTCTCAAGGAAAATCGAATGGCTTGCAAACTCGGATAGCCGGCTCTGGAAGTGTAAGCCGGCTCTGCAGAGCTGGCTCGAGAAATCTAAGCCGGCTCTCCTAACAAACCTGCAGCTCGAGTTTTGCGTCCTGCAAAGCATTTAATGACCTCCAACGGCTAGTAACGGCTATTTTCGAGCAAGGGGGTATAAATATGGGTGGTAACAGATCTGAAGAGGTGAAGAGTGTATTGTATTGAATATCTTTAGCTACCTACATGAGCTTTAACTTGAGTTTTTGATCTTTGAGAGATCTTTGTTTGTAATCCTCTTCTTGTGCTATTAGTGAGTGATCTTGGGGGTGTGTTGATTCCTTCAAGAGTGATCTATAGAGAGGATCTCTAGGGTTTATCTTGTAAAGGGGTGAGATTTGAGAGAAACACCCTTATTCTTGAAAAAGGATTGAGTGGCTCCTTTAAGCCACCTTTGTTGTTGTTAGTGGAGAGTGTGGAGGAAATCCTTGGTGAGTGAAGCCAAGGTAGAGGACTAGGCTCCAAGTGGTTGGACCGAACCTCTATAAATCATTGAGCAAGCTCTT